GGTGGAAAGGAACAAAGTACATTTACTTGATTAATGTACTTAAAACCGTTTTTGAGTATATTTACTTTACTTGAGTATTTTTTTGGCTGGTACTTATAACATTTTACTCCATTTCCAGGAAGCTGCTCATTACTTCTTGCTTTTGGCTCAGCTTAGCTTTTTAATCCATTGTTGCTGTTTTTTTCTTTCTTGAAATGCAAGAATTTGGACACCACTGGTTTAGAGATTAGCATGACATTCCCCAAATGTAAGAAACTCAGGGCAGATCTTATTGATAGTTTATTCATTTTATTAAGGCATTAGTTGTTGCCATGTGGCCCGGTTGTTCAGATAAGTTCTCAAATCACAGTTGTAGTTTCTTTGTGGCAATAGATTAAACATTAAACCTTTACAGTTTGAGGAGAATCAAGGCTTCCCTGTTTTCTTTTTGGTTTGTTTTTGAATAATAAATAATAATCAAGATAGCTGTCTTTATTTCTGTGCCATTTTTATGCTGAAGTTTTTTACAAGTGGTGTAGAATTGGTAGCAGGTGGTTCGACGCATCAATACATCAGGTGGTTTCTGAAAGTTACAAAGTTCTTTAAAAAGACTGAAAATTAAACAGAAAAATACTGATGTTAGAACATTTTGCTTGTATTTTTTAATACTAATACTTATTGAATCCTCACTTGAATATTTTGAAAATTCAATACTTCAACTTGACTGAGTAACTTTGAATTGTAGTTAAGTAAGATTAGACAATGAGTATCAATACTTTACTCAAGTGCTACTGTTGAGTACTTCGTCCACCACTGGACATATGCAGTGAAGATTATTTTACTCCAAAGGACTGAATGGGTGTGTACATGGATGCAAAACTGAATGGCTATTGGGAAAGAAAACACCTCTCTCATTCGGATTGAAATTACTTTCTAAATTCAGATTTATTGCACAATATTTCAAGTAGAAAAGCTTAGAAAGTGGCCGGTGAGCTTTAGAACTAGCTCCTTTGCCTCATTAAATGCAGCTTTGACTGAACTCACTGTAGTGGCGATTGTTTGTCAAACTAAATATCCAATAAAATTCCAATAAGCCATTATTTAGGCACTGGGGTCACGTTTTCTTGACGCAGGCAAAAGAAGTTGAAGTCCAATCTTGTAGATGTTCAGTTGATTTATTTACTATATTTTTTGCAACATTACAGAGTTCAAACATTCCCTTGCTCTCTCACCTCTCTTGTACTGGTAAAAACCCATAGGCCCCTAACCCAAATGCCTGCTGGTCCTTACCAGGCTCCTACATTTATAGAAAGTGGACCGCCCACATTTCGACCTGTTTTACATAATAAAGAAAAAAAGAAAAGATAAAACAACAAAAAATAACTACACAAAATTCAACACTTAACCTATAAATAAAGTCTGTAAATAATACAAATAATATATAAGTTTAGGAATTAAAACAATTGAAATGGATAAAGAAAAAAAGAATAAACAACTCCAACACTCACCTTTAGGTGGGGATAAAACTATATTATTGCACAAAAAACAGGATTTGTTTGTCGCTAATTAGCTGCAATTAGCAAGTTTTTCCAATGCTTCTCACGCACGCACGCGCGCGTGCGCACGCACACCCGCTGCCATGGAAACGGAGCACCTGTTCAAGTGTCAGCCATCTTTAACCGATCCTTTCTAACCTGGACCTGGAAGCTTGAACTGCTGCAGTCTGTGATTCACTAAGCTGTTAAAGATGTGCAGGCAACCAGAGGACAACAACTGGTGGGACGATCATCTGGAAGGTTTATTTCACTCTTTTACTATGTTGATAAAAAAAAAAGTAATTGAAAAAATATTATTTTAATGTTTTTTCATGAAGTTGTGACAGCTAGCTTAGCATCTAGCATCCATGACATCTCAGAGATTAAATGTGTTTTTTACTGAATTCGTCAGAAATGTTAACAGCGATTTTAATCATTTAAAAAAACAAAACATTTGTGTTTCAGAAAAACACCTTTGTTGAATTTTATGTGAAATGTTTGAAAACTAGATGGAGCTAGGTCTATTATTTTTAAAAAATGCCCTGAAAATAAGTTTGCTCTGTATGGAAATGTTGGTGAAAATACATTAAATAAATATAAAAAGACATTAGAATGACATTTAACATAATATATTATCAAGTCAAACTGTTTATTTTCCTATTTAATCAAAGAAAAAGATAATTTTTGAGTATTTTGGAATTTCACTGAATTTTAACTAAAAAAACAGAGATGAAGATTCTCAAGTTGTTTAGTTTAGTAAATGTGTTTAGGAAATGATATGTTTTTAACCAGTGTTTAAAAAAAAGTTTTTTTAAGGCTTATTATGTATTCGATTACTTTTTATTGGTTGGAAATGGGAGGAATGATAACAGAGATGCAATGATGTAAAACAGAAACAAAGTTTGGTTTGAGAGAATAATCTATGATGAATTTAATGTGGAAATGGTTGAAAAAATACAAAAAAATATTTCAGGATAAAACTGATTTTTTAAAATATATTTGAAGTTGAAAAGGAAGGTCTTTTTTAAAACATGCTGTGGTAAACATATTGGTCTCCATGGATACCTTGGTAGAATGCATTAATAAACTTCAGGACTTTTTGAGATGGCATATATTTTCAACTTTAATGGAAGGTATTAAAAAATGGTTGATTTTAAAAGTTTTTTTATTTTTATTCTAGGACGCACTGAGGAGGGGGTCTGATAAACTGAGAAATTATAGATCTGAAATTTAAAGCTTGATGTTATCAAGCCTTTATTTCTGTTAATTAGAATAATTTTCTGATTATAGTGAATGAAATTCAAAGATTGATGATTATGTTACCAAATCAGCCAATGAAACTTTTTTTTTCTTTTAAAGAAATCTATCTAATAGATCGAAACTATTTCTAATTTGGTAGTATGTGTTTAATGAAAACAATTTTTACTGACAGTTTAAAATGTCCTTTAATCTGAACTAATCTTAATGTTTTAGTTTCCAAAGTGGGGGTGTGTGCCCCCTAGTGGGAGCTCAGTTTAACTGCAGGGGACATGGTAGAAATAAAATAAAATAAATGGACCATTTAGAGCTAATTATTTTTGTATTGATACATTTTTTTCCTCACAGTTCCTGACGCCGTGCTTCCAGTTGATCCTGACCCAGAGCCCGAGTTCTGGATAGAGGATGAGGGTAATATAAATCAGTTTACTATGACAGTAGCATACCCCATTAACAGTGAAGATGATAATGAGGAGGTAGAATCCAGAGAACTAGTGGTGAATTTAGAGTATGATGAGGAGCTGATAGACCTCGAAGCCATAGAGTTGGTGCTGGAGCATCACAAGGAGGAGGTAGAGCTCGTAGGCATAGAGTTGGTGATGGAGCATGAGGTAGACTTAGATGTAATAGTGGGGGAGCAGGAGGAGTTAGATACTTATGAGAATAATTATAGGGCTATTTTTGGTGAGTCTCCTGACACTACAAGCTCTGAGGAAGAAGATCATGATGAAGACCATGAAGACGATGGCCACCTTCCCCCACATCTTCAGTTCACCCAGAGGATTTCCCCCGACTTCAGCCTTCCATGGAACCACGAGGAGCCAGAGGGGTCCCTGGAGTGCCCAGAAGACCGCGTCTCCAGGAGAAGAAGAGAGGAAGACGATGAAGAGGAGCTCCCTGGGAAGAGGCCTTGTCGTGAGAGGGATGTTTAAGAAGACGAATTTCACCAAGATATCATTTATTGTTTGTTTTCATATCTGGCAGGTCTAGGGATGCCTTAGGTAGCGTCTTGCACCGTGGCTTTTATTTACCCCGCTGCTAGATTTAGTTTTTTTTTTAAGATGTTAAGGAGTCTGGCAGGTCTAGGGATGCCTTAAGTAGCGTCTTGCACTGTGGCTTTTCTTTTCCCCGCTGCTAGATTTTGATTTAAGTTTTAGATTTTAAGAAGTTCCTTTAGCACAGACATCTGAGGGCATAACAACTTAGTTTGGAACATGAGAGCTGGTTAAGGCAGAAATAATCTAGCTATTGAAGTAAATCTGTGTCGCTGGGATTTAAATAAAAAATGCCACTGAAATTTAAATGTTGTATGTTTGTACACATTTTTGACCTGAAAAGAAGTTAATTCTCAATGAACTTCTTTTTAGGTCAAAAATGTGTTCTGAATACATTTTAACACTGAAACAGCAAGTACAAACATACAACATTTAAATTTTAGTGGCATTTTTAATTCAAATCCCAGCGACACAGATTTACCTCCATATCTAGCATGTTCTACATCTAATATCAGAGCTGGACAGCCTGCCAGCTAACAGAAGACAACACAAACAATTAAAGGATTGATAGAAGAACAAGAAGAATCTTCAACAAGATGAAACACAGAGTGGAGGCAAGTTTACAAAAAACAAATAAAAACACCAGAAGACAGAAAATGAATCCTGGTTGAAAACCACAAGGAGGCAAACGAATCCAAAGAAACAGCTGGACATCGCTGCTGAGGACAACGGAGGAGGTCAAACTTAAACCCTAAACGTGGAGTTGAGCTCAACTTAAAGTCTATAGGCAGAGAGACAAGGCTATAATGGAGGTTGATTAGAAGCTATCTAGAGCAGAGGTTTCTCACTCCAGTCCTCTACAGCAGTGTTTCTGCAGTTTTCAGATGCATCTCTCCTCCAACACGCCAGGATCAAACAAACAGCCTTTTACCAGACCTCTGCAGAGCTGAATGATTGATGAGGGAATTCAGCCCTTTGATTCAGGTCTGATGGAGAAGAGATGTGACTCAAAGCTGCAGCATAGCAGCTCTGGTGGAGTAAAGTTTGAAAGCCTGATCTAGAGTAGGACGATGCTGCTGGGGACAAATTGGATACAATGGACAGAGACACAGCTTGTGATCATCAGTTTAACTGGTCTCTGGGATGTTGCTGAAAAGGTAGAAAGATGACGCTTAGTAATTGATTTCAGACCAGTTTGAGGCAGAGGACAGGACTAATGTAGGGATTTGGGTTGTGAGGGGCACCGACTGTTAGAAACAGCTTTCCGATGTGACTTGTTCTAGTTCTAGATGTTCCTCTGGTCAGTTAGTTTTCAGGCCTAGTTTGAGGGAAAAGAACCCTCTGCAGAAATATTCTCCATATCATCTTGGCCTGTTCTGACCGCAGTGGATCTCTTCTGTGTTTTTTGAAACCCATGTTGGACCGAGCCTCTCCATGCTTTGGGCCATCAGAAGATGCTGATGAGATCTGCAGCGACCAAACCAGAGGAGGATCATCTGAGCTGCTGACCTTCACAAAGAGTGAGAGCATGTTCAGTAAGGAGCAACAATAATCCATCATTTAAATAGAAAGTCAACATTTCAGATGGCCTCACTTAGTTTTTCATGTTAATTTCAGACTCTGTTGTCGTCCTAAAGCAGAACTTCTGTGAGGAACCGGGACATCCAGGATGGTGAGGAGCTTCCCAGTCCCCACCTGAGGACGGCACAGAGAAAGACTGGAACAGAAAACACACGGAGTAAGCCTTTATTAACACGACAAACCCACAACTCAAGCTTCCCAGGCCTGATTAAAAGCTAACAGTCATTGAAACACAGGAAGACTAAGATTATGATGAAAACAACATACTGACCCAGATTTCAACTTGGTATCGAGGAAATTTTGTAGATTAATTTGTCTTATTTTTTTCAGGGAAAGCAGGTTGAACATGGAAGCAGTCTTCTAGTAGCCGGATCACATTGGAACAGAGTCCATCCACACGTGTTTGGAGGTATGTTGGTTGTTGTTTGACTAGAGAAGCATCGCATACAGACAGACTCTGAGGACACTTTGCTTTCATTGATGAAGGAGCTGAAGAAGAGGACGGAGCACAGAGACTCTCTCTCCAACGTTCTGGAGTCCTGGAGTAAAATAACGATGACGACCCTGCAGCTAAACCATCAGTCTGCTACACCCAGAAGAAGAAGGTAACAAACCTTTATTGCTTCCAGATGTTCAACAGTATTGGTGAAGATACTAAAAACAGATCCAGAACAAACAGATACAAACGCTACAACCATCCCATCAAGGTGGTCTAACCTTTAATCTTTAGCTTTCCATCATGAGTGGATGTTCACCTCTATTTTCATCTCTGTAACCAAACCTTTACCAGAATCAGAAGTTCTGACTTTTCCATTAAACCACAGATAAACAGTTAAGAAGCAGCTTCTGATCCAATATGGGAGAATTTCCCCCTTGTTGATCTCTGAAGGTTTTTTTTTAGAACTTATTAAAGCAGAGAAACGGCCGAATGAAGACTTGCAGTATTTCCAGGCATTTTCTCCAAATATCCATTGTCTTTAGTTATCACTTCTGCTAAATTGGGACACCATTTTTTTAAGTGGCCCCTTGATTTTCTGATTCTGAGAAATTATAGATCTGAAATTTAAAGCTTGATGTAATCAAGCCTTTATTTCTGTTATTTAGGATAATTTTCTGCTTAAAATAACTTCAAAGATTGATGATTATATTACCAAATCAGCCAATTAAACTTGTTTTTCTGACAAAGAAATCTATCTAATAGATCAAAACTATTTCTAATTTGGTAGTATGTGTTTAATGAAAAATTTTTTTACTGACAGTTTAAAATGTCCTTTAATCTGAACTAATCTTAATGTCTTAGTTCCCAAAGTGGGGGTGTGTGCCCCCTAGTGGGAGCACAGTTTAACTGCAGGGGACGTGGTAGAACTAAACTAAATAAATGGACCATTTAGAGCTAATTATTTTTTGTCTTGATAACTTTCTGAAAATGAAATTCTAAGCCCTATTTAACAGTGAAATAAACATTTAGATTTAAAATAAACTTACAACTTAGTCATCAACAAGATAGCTGGTGAGGACCAGCAAAATGTTCCCCTTTACAACAATCAGTCCTCAATGTGAAGTCAGAAAAATGGTCCTCAGGCTGATGCAGAGACAGGAGAACACAGTCATGTACACATTTGTCTCATATATAAATGTTTGTCTTGATGTATTTTTGTATGTATGTGATCTTTTACAATAGTTTTTTTTTTTATCTTAACACTAACCAAACCACTAGCATTGTTTTTTTAAATGAGTTGTTTTAGCTCACAGATTGATGTCCTTATTGATTAAAGGGGAACGCCGTTGTTTTTTTACATTGGGCCCTTGATTTTCCGTTATTACATCATGTTCTACTCACCCATATGAGTTTTGTGTAATTTGGAGCTGTTCTGAAGATATTCGGTTAGGTTATATCCAAGTAACGTCTTCCTATGGGCAATGACTTGAACTACACTGTTCATAATTTATCATTTATGATACGCTAGCATTCATTACATGTAGGCGAATCACTGTCCCCCAGACATCCGCTGTTATATTTTTTATATTTGTATTTTTTAAAAACAAAGCGGAGTGTGTATGACGTCATCGGCGCGCGCCGGCTACATTCATTCATCCTGTCCGCTGAACTGCTGCTAGTTTTACTTAAATGAATGGAAAATTTCTAGTGCTGCTACCACAGATGATCTCGCTCTCAAAATGAAATGGAACGATTCAGATTAGCTCTCCGAATGAATAGAAGGGGTAGAGCGTAGCTACCTGTGGCCCGGGCTGCCTGTCACAACTCCAGTCCGACGCGCGGATGACTTCATACACACTCTGCTTTGTTTTTAAAAAATATAAATATATAAAATATAAGCGCGGATGTCTGGGGGACAGTGATTCACCTACATGTTATGAATGCTGGCGTACCATAAATGATAAATTATGAACAGTTTAGTTTGTGCCTTCAACTCGTTGCCCATAGGAAGACGTTACTTGGATATAACCTGACCGAATATCTTCAGAACAGCTCCAAGTGACACAAAACTCATATGGGTGACAAGAACATGATGAAATAACAAAAAAATCAAGGAACCAATGTAAAAAAAAAAAACAGCGTTCCCCTTTAACTTTAGGTTCTCCCTGTGTGTTTCCCTCTTTTATTGGTAAAGTTAGACCTCTCCCAGTGTTTATGTGTTTAAATGTCACAGTCTTGTCTTTTTGTTCAATAACTCCTGTTCTTCTTTTCCAGATAAGGTCATCTGCTCCTTGGACCGGCTTCTCTGTGCCTGATGGACGTCAGTAGATGGGCGCTGACATGGAGGTTCCTTCCTGTTTGAAGCTAGTTTTCCTCTCCACTGTGACCACTTCTTTGCTCAGGAGGGACTGCTGCAAAATTAACGACTGTCTGTGATTGGCTGAGCTTCCTTGGATTGAAGACCTTTCTCTAAACACCATAATAAGCTGAATTTATCTTCACCATATTGTAAATAGGATTGGACTGGACTGGATGTTTGTGTTTCGATTTGATTCTGTTTGTGTTGAATTCTGTTACATGTTTCTGTATTAAAGCTCTCATGTTAATTGCCTTTAGATGACATTTGCTGGGACTTGTTTCTATTTTACTAGACTGTATTCTAATAAATCCCCCTACTGGGTCTGTTTCTGTTAAAGTACTGTATGCTTCCTGTCGTTCTATGTTCACCCGTTATTTCTCACTATAATAAAGGTTTGATTTAAGTAATGTGAACAGGATCTTTTTGTCTTTTTTTGTAAAGTGTCTATAAATAAGTGGTTGTAAATGTAAATGTGGAGCTGAAGTCAAATGGAGCAAGAGTCCTAATATTACTATAATACAGCGCTTTGGCAGATTGGTGGTTATTATTGTTTCTCTGTTGGGGGTTCTGACCTGACAGCTCATGTTAACAGAACAATTGTTCTTGTCACCTTGCAGTGTCAAAACAAATAGCTCTACAAAAGGACGGTGAGACGTTCCTCCTGCAGTTCTTCTCATTTTATTGACCTTATAGACAATCTGGGAGTTTAGCAGCAGAGCAGACAGGACACATCAACACTGAGCCATACAAAGAACAACAAACAAATATGGGAGAATAAAGATGAATGTTAAAATAAAACTAGAGGAAGATAGTAAGAACTAAATGTTTAGTCAACCCAAAGGCAAACAGCTTTGCTTAATTTAAACAAAACTTTGTCCAAAGATGATTTTTATCTTTTTTAAACTATACATACTTGGTCCCAACTAGTTAATGTTTCGGACTCTATATTCTATCAGAGGAAATGTGAGAAATGGATTTAAATGGATTGATGATCCTAAACTTACATTAAAACTGGTTTTAGAATAGATAAAATATGGAGCTAAATTGGTCTCAAAAAGATCCACGTGCGTACAACCAGATATGTAATTGAACATCTCACTTCACAAATGTGGATCACACAAGGCTAAATGTGTACCTTGACATTTAAAATGTGTGCATGCGCAGTGTATTATTGCTGGTGTACTATGAATGTGAGAAAGTGACATTGTTAATGTCAAGGCACACATTGGAGCTTTGTGTGAAGCACATTTGTAAATTAATATGTACATTTACTGATCTTGTTTTAGGCTCGTGGATCTCATTTTACACATATGTGAATCTTTTAGCATTTAGCTCCATGCTCAGCTTTTACTGTGACTAACTGTATATGCTCTCTTTCATACTTTCTGATATTAAAACTGACTCAGACCTCATCAGGTTGACTGTTTCTGTCCTAGAAAGAGCAACTAATGGAGCTAGTTTAACTTTACATTTTTTAACAGAAAGTATTCATGAATCAGTGCTTCTATGCTCTTTATCTATGTCTGCTTCCCTCTCCTTGAACACCCAGTCAGCCTCAGCAGAAGGCCGCTCACACTGAGCCTGGTTCCACTGGAGGTTTAATCCTCTGTTGTTGCTGAATTCATGCTCGGTTTAAGGGATTGCTGTAGAGTCAACGTGCAATGCAAGCCAAAGTCTACCGTTGCTAGAGAAGCAAACCCTGCAAAGTCGATGACAGAATGCAATCAGCAGGGTCTCTTACCAATCTCACTGTATTTGAGTCGTCTTTGTAGAATTAACCGAATTGAATTGAGAAACCTGAAAGGCCGAGTTTACTGATCACTCAGGAGGTTGCTGAGGATGAAAAGCAATAATTTGACTCAGGTGTGCTGAAGAAGAGACGCATCTAAAACATGCAGGACAATATTTAATCTTTTTACATTCAGATTAAAATAGAATTGGGATTATAAAATGTATTGCCATGAAATAACCCCCAGAGGGTGCTTTTCTCTAATATTTCAGGCCTTGGCAGCTGCACAAATGTATTGAAAAATATTAAACAGAAAACTGGAGGTTTACAATGTCTTTTGAAAATAATTAGAATCTTAAAGTTTCCTCTGTTATAGTTATGAATCGTTATAGCCTACTCATAAAGTCTGAGCTAAATATAGAATGTTTAATCAGGAAATGTTGGCAATAAATGGAGCCTACCTTCACTGATGTTATATTTGTAGGGGGAAAGTTTTGAAAAAGTAAAACCAAGTGAAATTGACATTAAGATATTTATTTTCCTTTAGTAACTTTTTTATACTTTAGTTTTTACAGAATTTGTTGTTTAAGATTAATTAATTACTAAATTATTTGACAATTATTTCAATAATCCATTCAGCTCTTGGTTTGATTTTTATTTCCATTATTATGATTGTTTAAAGCTACTATGATGCCATTTTAATGTCTCTCTATCTTTATGAAAGGCTTTAATATTTTTTTCTTTTTCCTTAAAAAAAACTAAAACAAACAAACAAACAAAAAAACACAAAAAAAAAAAAGAAACAATGCATCCCGAATTTAAGTCTGAAAAATAAAAATGGGAAAAAAATCTTTATAGGTGTGATAATATTTAATTCCATTGGTTTGACTTTTCAGATACATTAGATAAAAAGAAATTGCTGATCAATAAAGTGCATCTTTTTACATAGAATCTGATAGACTCAAAATAAGTTGTGATACATCATGATTGTGATCCATGCTAGAATAATTCCTACTGATCCAAGCAGCTGCAGTCTTTCAAAGGTTTTTCTGATTGTATTTTACCTGCAAAGAATTAGCATTTCTCTTGGATTACTAAATAGAAATCATAGCAAATTTATAACCGCTTTATCATAACTTTAAAGAGAAGATCTGGTGAATTATTTCCTTATGCTGTAGCCCTGGAATGTACAGTAAACTGAACCCCCCCCCCCCCCCCCCCCCCCCCCCAATCCATTAAAACAATCAAATCAATTATAAAAACTCTGGACATTTTTAATCCATAAATAAGTAATTCAAGAGGAGGCACTTTAATTGTATTTTTTGTTTTATCCATTTATAAATCATTTAATTAAACTATTTCTATCTCTGTTTTTTCACGTGGAGAACACCAACACTGCAGTATCCCTCCTCCCTTTACTGACTCTGCAGACATGAGGTGAGACTCGTCCTTTGCGGCTTAAACATCATGAAAAATGTCGCATTAGACAGTGTGGAAAGTAAAGGCCAGGTCCTGCAAGGTTGTGCATCAGAGTTAGCAGATATTGTAGCGTTTCAATGTCTACAGCATGGGTCTTCAAGGCGCCTATTGTGTTTTAAGGTACAGTAATCATGATGGAAAACTGCCTAAAGATAACAAAACTTATACACCACTGATAGTATTAAGGAAAAAATAAATACACTGCAAGAATCTGGCATCATCAGGCTTAGACCAGCATAACATAGTTCTGAGGTTAAACATTTTCTTCACTTCAATAACTATAATTCTATCAAAGTGGTTCTATTTCATCCCTACTGACCGCCAGAGTGCTTGAAGCACCGCCTCTGGCGGTCATCCGGGATTCATAGAACCGTAGTTACGGTAGTAAATTTCGTTTTTTTTTAAAACTGGAAAAACGATGATTAAATGACGTGTTTTTATCCTTGATTTGAATAGGTAAATGAGAAATTTTCTTATAGCATGAGTATTTTTAATCTTAAAATAAGATAATTAGTTAACATGCACTTGAAATAAGACAATGCAGTTGTGTTTTCTTATTTTACATCTAAATTGTCCTGTTCCATTGGTAAAATGTCTCTTTTATCTCCTCAATTCAAGAAAAAATGCACTTATTTTAAGAAATAATGACTTATCTATATTTAGATTTTTTTTCCAGTGAAGATCATTTGAGAAACGGCAACATTTTGTAATTACCTGTCATGGTTTTGGTTCAGTTGTGCTTTACTTGGCTCCATGTTTCCTAATCTTATTGGTTTAATTCCTGTTTTGTTGTAGTTTCCATATTTATATTAGTTCTCAGGTTTTTCTGTTGTCCTCTTGTGTGTGTGTTCCTTTCCCCATGGCTCCCTCGTTGTCTCCTCTCACACCTGCTCCTTGTCAGCTCGTTAGCCCTGCCGTTGTCTCAGTCAGCTACATATTCTCTCCCTCTACTGTCACTCCTTGTTGCTGGTCCTGTCGTCGCTGTTGTCTTCTCACCTTGTCTCTCCCTGGCTCCTTGTGCGTGTTTTCCCCTGATGTCTCCATGGTTCTGGTCTGTGTTACATTTTTAGTTGGATTTTTGGATTTTGCCTCTATTATTTGTGTTTGCATTAAAACTACAAGAAATCTCCTCAGCCTCTCTGCCTCTGCATTTGGGTCCTCTCAGCCAGTGTTTTCAACCCTGGTCCTCAAGGCACACTGCTCTGCATGAAATTCAGCACACCTGATTCAGATGATTGCAGTTCAGCAAAGCCTGATAATCTGCTATCAATTGATAACAGGTGTATGAAAGCTGGGAAACATCTAAACATGCAGGGCAGTGTGCCTTGAGGACCAGGTGTGAAAAACACTGCTCTAAACCACAAGCAAAACGTGACATTACCTCTGAAGTTTCACATCCTTCTGTCCGTCCATCCAGTCTAGCTACAACCTGAACGGGTCCCCAGTCCATCACAGGGTCTCATAATAATCACTTGTCCATAAATATCAATATAAATCTTGATTTCTGTGGTGAATCCTTCACCCTCCTCTACCACAAAGTGTTTGTATATTTTTCATTGTTCATATATATATTTCTATATGTTAGTTATTCCATTTAGATGTATATATTCTAATGGGTGCACACTTTAGTTAATATGTCTGAATAGTTTAACTCAAACTTGTTCTTTTCTTTGAGGTTCTGCAAATGCAGATCAGCTGGAGGTGGGAGCCTGGAACAAACCACTTTCCCAAAGACTTGAGGGGAGAATTCTGAGTTGACCTTAGTTATTTTGTCACCTTAATATTTACTTATTATTTGTGCCGAGAGAGTTATTTTATTTGTTTAATATGTTTTAATGTTGCATGGATGTGATTTGTTGTCATGTGGCAACTTTAGGTTTATTCCACCCCTATTTAAGCCTTCTCTGTTCTTTTTCTGTAGGTCAGTTTTTGTTTGACTTAGTTACTGTTCAGTTGACCTCAGTTGACTTGGGCCCAAATTCATGTTATTTATAATGTTAAGCTATTTTGTATTGCCGTTAGATCTTTTGTTAACTATTTTTGATATTAAATCAAATTTAGTTTGTCCAATTTTTTGACACCTTTTGTCCTTAAGTTTGGGAGCACACAATTTCCTTACCTTTTAATTTTGGCAGATTGATGTGAGACCCACACAAACCTATTCAAACTTACAAACTGTGTATTTTTGGAATTTGTAACACTTGCTTTTTGTTTTCCAAATTTCAATTTTACTTTATTAGATCCAAATAATAACTTAATTCACCCAGTAGCTCGTTCTGCTATATTGTATGACATTTTTCCATTTCATAACATATTAATCGTCATCAGAGGTCCTTGGCTTTTAGATAAATAAGCTAGGGTTTCAGTTCAATAGAAACCTATTTATTTGTTCTACACTTGCTAAAACTCTCTCAAACAAAAAAGGAAGAATACATTCAATGGCATTACTTCAACATAAAACAGTTGTGTTCAAAAGATTAAGATCATTGATCAGTCATGCATAGACGACTCAGCATAAATCCCAGTTTTGCTGACTGCTTGATCTTTTAGGTGATAGAGAGTTAAAGAGACCACTTTAAGCAAAGCTCCCAACCAGAAGTGGTAGGAATTATACATAAGGGGAGAAGAAGATGCTCTACCATCCACTGTGGAGAGTGAACATGGTTAAAGTGTGGAAAGCATTAAAAACCTAACAACGATACATTCTGGCTTTGCAGAAACATGCTTTAAAAAAAAAAAATCAATGATATTCTTCTCATTTGTATTATCCAATGCCTATCTCTAGCCATAACTAAGGGAGAGGTGGGGTACATCCAGTGCTCAGCTACATTAGTTAGCACATTAATAATTTGCTCAGTTTGAGGAAATGTGAAATTTCTCATGTTTTTCAGCATATTATTGCTGGAATAGGCTGGTAGAGCCTCGGTTTGCTGTTTCTCTGAGCTGAATTGAAATATAAAACCTTTGTGGACGTAAATGTTTTTACCTCTTACATATGCAGACAAATAAACCCATTGTCATGATGTGAACCAGCTGTCGGTAATGACTTTTATATCTATGGAAAGTCTGGACCACACCTAGCATTACGTCATTTTTTTGACTTTATGGCTTTTATACTTATTATACAGCTTGATTACTCACATGGATGAGGGTAAGGTTCAGAAACAAAATGCAAGCTAAAAGTATCGATTCCATTTAAACGTTCTCTAAAAGTATTAATTGGAATAAATGTGACTGGTCAACACAGAGCAGAGCAAACTAATAATAGGGATGCATGCCTATTTGGTTGTATTTCATATAAAAAATCTGAAAAGTGTGGCATGCTTTGTTTAGTTAAGACTTTGTACAGCAACCTGGAGTCACATTGGGTGTTTCTCTAAGAGCTTTGCTCACTCAGGGAATAGCAGCTTTAAGGTTGTATTTTTGTTCATGTCAGGACAGTTTTTTGGTTTCTGTTTGTCTTGTCTTTGTGTTCTCCCTTCCACCACCAGGAGGCGACTGTCTCCGGTCCGCCTCCTCACATACCTGCGAACGGTTACCTCATCACCGAACTGCTCTTAAGCTGCTGGTTGCCACTACCTCAACGCCAGTGTTTGCCAGTTTGGGGTTCTCTAGCTAAGCCTTGTTTATTCTGAGCCTAATCTGAGTTTTTGCAATTCGAGTTTTTGTACTCTAGCCAAGCTGAGATCATATTGAGTTTGACTTTGGCTTGTCTCTCTAAGATTCAACTCTGTTTTGTTTTTGCCTTTCGGAAGGAAGCCTTCTTGCAAACTGGACCTTTCCGGACCGCCTCTCCCAAGTGGGATCAACTGAGGCTTACACTGAGCGATTGATTCCAAACAGGAGGTATGGATCCACCCAACTTTGAAGACGTTGAGTAAGGAAATCATCTTCACCACGACCCATTCAAGTACCACAGGAAAACTGAGTTGCAACCAGCGGCTGCATCATTCCACTCTGTCCGAATCCTGGGTAAACCCTGTTCCGCCCTCCACCGAATCAGACAAACTCTGGAAGACCAACACACAGACTGGAGTCCAAGAGTCTCCACTCCTCTGGAAACGTGAGTGGCAAAAAATCCTCCTCCTTCAAGAATCTAACAGTCTGTCTTCCCCTCGCCTTCCAGTTTCCGGCTGAGCAGAATTCGGAGGAACTCTGCGCCAAACTCAAGAAACATTTCAATAAAACCCATTGAGCTTTTACTCTGTGTCTCTCTGTTTGGCTTCACTGCATGTGGGTCCGAGCCTTAGATAAAATCATGACAGTTCAGTCAAATCAAATGGAGATTGCCCATGAGCATCAGTATTGAAGTCTTTAAGCAGATTCATAAATATGTTTAGTATTTGACTTTGACTAGGCCTCCTAACACACAAATAGGGTTTATACTAATTCTATCCAGTTCATATAATCCTGTATCTTTAAGATTTTTTCCCCACCCACCATTGCCAGGTGGTGGATATAGCCTCAGCCACACTATTACAGAAAGGGTTTATCTTTTGTGTGTGTTATTCAAACTATATAGATTATTATATAATATAGTTTTTTAAAAACATTTCACCAACTCTACCAGACAAACATATTTCATCTGAAGAACTATAATTTGTTAAAATCAAAAGGCTTAGGCTGTAATGATCTGGGTGTGTGTAGCTGTCGCTGGTGGGAGTGTTTCTTTCCGAGCATGAGCTGGGGGCGTGGCCAGCGAGCAGCTGTTAGCACACCTGTCCCCTCTTCCTTGATTTTCTTCTGGGGATAAAACAGGCTGCCAGAGAAATCTACTCTTCCTGATGTTTATCATGAGAAAGTCAATCTGTTGTATATTTTTAGTGACCTGTCGCTTTGAGGATTCTCTGAAACTATTTGGATAAGGATCAGTTCCTGCCTGTTAGTCTTGTAACTTTTCCCTGTGGTTCTACCTTCAAGAGAGAAGCCTGGCGATTATCCACACGTCTCCTGGAGCCTCTGATCAACCTGCTCACATCAGAAACCTCTTAACTACTGTTGACCTTTGCCACTCCGTTCTATCTGCCTTCATCTGCCTGCCCGTGCTTCGTTTTGCACACCATCTTTATAACAACTTGCTGTAAAACGCCATCATCCCAATTCACCAGCCAGTTCGCCAACCCAGCCTGAACCCTTCATTGCTGCCTGACCAAGTAAGCCTCTTCCTTTTCCTTCAACATTTCTCCCACCTTTTCAGTAACCGCCTTTTCCTGTTTAATTTTATCTTTCTGCTTTTAGATGCTGCCGAGCCTTAAAATCATAATGCCCGCTCTCTTTCCAGCTAATCAGTTTTTTGTTTTCAAATTGAACTCGCCAATGACTCCATGTCCACAGTAAAAATGTTCCAGGATTGTCTTTGGAAGGTACAGCATGGATGAGGGTTTAGTTTGTTTTATTTCTAAAGCTAAAGTTGAGGTTCTAGGGTTCTGACAAAATAATTCCCTACATGGAGACGACGGTGTGGCTCCTACTCTTTGTCCTTTTCAGAATTATCTGAATGTGTTGGTTAATCATCTGCATAAATGTAAAAGAACTATCAGTGCTGTTAAGGCCAGTTGGTTTTAGTTTTTTTGCCAATGGGGTTCTATGCACAGATTAAATCTTTCTCAGGCTGAATTAATCCATCGATTTGGACCATGATGGTTGGATTGCTGAAATTATTATATTGAATATATTATCTAATCTTGGAGTTGCCTGCGGTATTACAGTATCCAAATGCTGCTGCCTGTTTGCTGATCAGAACAAAGGGCCCACTTTTAATTTGTTTTTAAATGTCTAAACTCCATGATTCTCTATATAA